AAGCCCGAGCCAGCCATCTGTTCAATAGCTCAGCAATCACGAAAAAAGATCTCTACAATACAGTTACGCGGTTTAGGGTTTAGGGTTTAGGGTTTTTAGGGTCTAGGGTTTAGGGTTTAGGGCATAATTCTACTCCTTTGAGTTGGGAATTGTCCCCACCTTGTAGCAGTCTAAGTTAGGGTTCATATTACAGGCTACATATAAATATATTTACACATATTATCCAACTGGTACAGAGCGTGGGCAGTTTGGTGATTTGTTGCCATACAGGGAGGGGTCCCAAAGTTATAACTTGGACTATCAGTAACTTGCAATGTTGATAACAATAGGTTAAAACCCAATGAGTTATACTTGTGGGGTTTATATGGATATAAGCCCTGGACTAGATTTGTAGTACANNCACAGTATATCCCTTGATAGGTCCCCCCCCAAAAATCCCTATATAGTCCCCTATAGGTCCCCCCTCGAACTAAAGCTAATCCGAGGCTCATGTAACTAGGGGCACCGCCCTGTAGGGCTGATTCTGCTGGTCTGCTTGTAACGCATACCTTACCCCTAAAGTATGTAGAAATAGCCTTTTTTTGGGCTGTTTTTTAGGGGCGTAGGGCTATGATTTTACTTACTTTTGGGATTTAGGTATACACAAAGTACCAATAGCCCTGACAGCCCGCATAATCTAACAACTCTACTCTTTGACTCCTCAATTAAGCCCTCAACCCCAGACCCTGAAACCTTTGACCCTTAAACACTAAATCCTACCCACTAGGTCCTAAACTCTTAACACCTAAGCCCTTAACACATAGACCCTTCACAGCGAACCCCCCCAACATGTGATTTTGATGGAGACGTCCCCCTCAGAGTCCTTGCCACTGTCAATGCCCGCTGGGAAGATCCTTCCCGGATTTCAGGCAAAGTCCTCCTTGCTTGCTTCGGGATTTAGGGCTTTCGGTTTAGAGTCTTGGGTTTCGTCTTACACCTACTTGGAGGTCCTGGGAGTCTATAACCCACTCAGTGGGTGTAGTTATGGCTCCACTACAGCCTGCTGAGTACAGTTGCTCCTGGCTATAATTGGGTCAGGAAGCGCAAAAAAGCGATGTCAACATGGACCTGATGACTTGAGCGATAGCAGCGGCATTCAAGTCGCAAAGGCCCAATCGAACCATCTCTTCAATCTAGGACCTTTAGAACGAACCCTGACTGCGGATGCTTGCTGCTGATGGGGTGATATGAGGACTGCCCAGGAATACAAGGTTTTGCATAGATTGCACAAGGGTTGTGTCTACATACGTATATATCCCTAAACCCTAAACCCCTAGCCCTAGATAAGCCCCAAGCCCTAGATACATGTGTGTATGTATATATATATATATACAAAAGAGGACTTCGGTCCTGGCTAAGGATCCGTGCCCAGAAGCGTAAACCCTGAACCCTACAATCTCAACCCCTAAAGCCTCAACCCCGTCTGAAAGCTGCCCAAAAGCTCAATCCCCAAGCCCTAATAAACCCTGGACCCTAAACATCTCAATTACCTAAACCCCAAAAGTATGTAAAATAATAGCCCTAAACCCATAGGAACAGCCATAAAGGCCATTATTTTACATACTTTAGGGGTCCAGGTAGGGTTTAGTTATATAAAATACTATACCCCAAAAGGAAGATATGATCTTACTCTATAGTGGGTACCATAATATCCCCAAATAATATACCCTAAACCCTAAACCCTAAACCCACAAGCTCCTTGAGGTCTCGGCCTTCGCCTACATCCAGAACAGCTTGGAGGGACCAGCTGTAGCTCCAGGGTTCAGGGTTTGGGGTTTAGGGTTGGGGTTGAATGTCTTGGGTTCGGGTTTAGAGCAAAGATTCAATGCGTAAGTAGAGTATCGTGGAATGAAAAAGATCGTGGGTAGATGTTAACATGCAACAAAGACCTGATTAGGGCCTCATATATCTAATTGTCCTTCAACTTTGTTTCGTATGGTTTTGCGATGCGTGAGTTGCTACCCGAAACCCTACACTTTAAACTTACTCAGGCAGAACTTCTTGGATTCAACCTGCATTTGGGCATTGAAGCCAGGTGTTTGCTTTTGGATTCCCTACTGGTACCTTGAGGCGTATTGCTTTGGGTATGGTCTGCCCGAGTAGTCCCTTCATACTAACTAAAAAACCCGCTCTCGCTCCCAAAATCAAATACGCCCCCAACAATATGAAGCGCAGATCATGCGAACATTTGTCGCGTAGCACGAAGGGAGTTAAACCGCAAACAGGGCGATCATAATCCGTTCGCACCGAACCCCAGAGTTGCAACCGCAAAGCCTGGAAAGTCTGCGGAAGGGTGCTGGACCCAGAATCCCCTTGCCTTGACCCTTCGAGTCCCAAGGCCTAAGCGCGCTTCATAGTCCCTGCCTCTTGTTGCTCCACGCGCTTCAGGACCTGTGCCATGTGAAACGCTGAGAGCATGCGCGTGAAACATGACAACGGCTTTGAAACTTGCTGGTTCTCAGTAGGGGATAAGGGAATATGATCCCTATATAACCCCTACATATAGCATTTTCCCAAGGATACTTAATATTTTTTGTAGAGCTGTAAATCGCAGAGAGCTCCAAAGGCTTAGGGCTCAGAGTCAGGGAGTTGTCATGGAGAGCCCATGGGTAAGCCCTAACCCCGAAAACAGAAGCACGAAACCCTGAACCCCAAACACCCAAATCCGATCCCTATATGTACACACATATATGTATATATAGATGTCTAGATACATAGATACATTTACCTTAGAATCAAGAAGAGGGCTTTCGTTTCCCCAACTCCGAACCACCCCATTAAGAACGCTAAAGGATCGCGCAGCCTCAGCTCCAAAGCCAAACGGTATGAGGGGCTCTATGTCTGAACTCCTTCAACCCAGAATTCCCCCAAAACCCGAAGCCTTGGACGCTAAAGCTACACAATGAAACCCCAAACAACTCCCCTGAACTCTTGAACCCCAAACTCTGAACTCTAATTCCTAAACCCTAAACCCTGAATCCCAAACCCTAAAACTCTAAATCCT